CAAAATTGAAATTCTCTCTTTAGACCTAACGATCCAGTTTGGGCAAATGAAGTAGAGTTCACGTGTTTCTTGATCTCGGCATATCGAGGGATAGTGTAGTCGGCACTATGTTCAGCCTATACTTTTTCCAACCGTGAGTTAGGTACCCATTAGAGCAGGGTGGACTCAGGGGACATCCTATCAGCACAAGTCCGAATCGAGATCCGAACTCGAGACTTTCGGGTTAGCAGCCAATCGCTCTAATATTCGACCAGGCGTTCCCCAATCATCTGAAAAACGTGTCCAAGTTTAAAGTCGACCCCTACACATATATTCTTCTAGTATGTTCGCTCCGCACAAGTTTTGTACCAAGTCACGAGTTACACGTTGTTGTGAACTTTGGATCTACGCCTCAAGGTTAATTAGATAATAAACAAAAGTCTAATCAATCACCACCGACCACCTGTGTGTTAGTTTACCTGTATCGATTGCTCACAAATCACGTTCGGTCTATTGACTTGTGCGGGTTGTGTTCGATCTATAGGTGTGTGGTGGGGGGGGGGGAGGGATGATGTAAATAAATTGATTGTCGAGGTACAACAATGGAGAGTAGACCTTAAAAGTGCACGCTGAAATTCATTAAAACCTGCTTCTGTAGTGATTAAAGGTTTTTATTTTCCCAACAGCCTACACTTTAACCCAAATATGACAGGTACTCCTTAAAGCTGGGTGAACTCAGGAACCGAACTCACGACTCTCATGTTTACAGGAGCATTCTCTCCGCTCTGACCACATCGTCTAAAAAAATTTGAAAAAAACCTTTTTAAATACTGTATTGTATATTCATTTCTTTTTGTATTAAACCTTAACCCAGTCATTAACTTTAACTAGGTCTATAACTCTAAGTCTACATCAACACACCTAACATAAAACCACCCTAAAACAACATTGCATTGTCTTTCTTAAATTGTCGTTACTTTAACAATCATTCCGAAACTGCTGATAACATTACTGTAATCTTTGTTTCTATGACTACGTCTTTGCGCCTCAATACTCTGGTATTAGTTACACGATTAGAAAAAAAAAAGATAACCAATACAAGCATTGTGTTTTAGATATTTTTACCGTTAAATTCAGATATTGGCTTTTATTGTTATCAAAGACTTTATAGCGAAAAAAAAAAAGTTGAATTTTTTTTCGCTACGGAGACTACGGTAACCATGACAACGGAGTAAACGACAAACAAACAGTGTAAGGTTGGCAAACAGGAAAAACGGGATCTCATGCGTCAACCTCTTATCTTGTTGGGAGGGGGTGGGGGAGGTTGTTGGTAGCTAAATATTTGCCTGTGTATTTGTTTGTATGCGTTTATGTTTGTCTGTGTGTTGGCAGAGAAAAAAAAAGGAGGGGGGGGGACGGAGATAATGTACGTTTCAGAATAGGACAGAAGTACTGCACGTATTTCATTCGTTATCTAAACCGCTTTTTCATTCGGTTTATTACGTAGGTGTTTCTTTTTTTTCTTTTATTTAAATTTCAATGAGAATGTATAAACATTCTATTCGTAAAATAAGGGCTCTGTAAATATTGCGAAAAGATTATTTTGACAGGTCGGGGAGTGGATTAAGTAAATGGGTTTTAGCACTTGCATTATATTTTAAAGTAAAAAAATTAAGACAAAAAACGCGTTTAATTAACGATAGAATTATGGTTCTTTTAGCCGAGAGAATGGAACTTTGTGACGTCTTTTAGGGTGGGGGGGGGTTGAACTTTGTGATGTCTTTTAGGTTGGGGGGGGGGGGGGTTGAACTTTGTGATGTCTTTTAGGTTGGGGGGGTTGAACTTTGTGACGTCTTTAAGAAGGGGGGGGTTGAACTTTGTGATGTCTTTTAGGGTGGGGGGTGGGGGGGGGGGGTTACTTGCTGTGAGTCATAAGAGTAGAAGGTGGAATAAAAACTCCAAAAAGAGCATTATGTCATGTGCCGAAAGCCCTCGTATTGAAAATTAATCATATCAGCTTAACATTGTTTCGTCGTGGAAATTCCACTTTTTAAAAAAAAGTTTTATCTTGCTGTAATTTATTTCCTAATTTTCCAATCACTGATAACAATTTTTAGTAATAGCTAATCTATAAACCCGATTAGTAACGCTAACTAAATATAACCTGGGAAATTCAACAAGCAATTGATTAGATATTACGCAATCAGATTATATAAATAAAGGTATACAACTCCCAAATATTTTTTTTTCATTCGAACTAAGTTATTTAATTTTGTGCTATATCTCCTCACCCAGACGTTCAACTTTGCGTAAGAAAGAAAAAAAAAAGTTAAAAACGTAGATCAAATTACTAAATACGTTTGCCTTAGTTCATTCACGAAAGACACCATAAATAGCCTACTTTTCAATTATTCTTTATATCAAATGTCAGAGAAAAAATGATTAGAAAAGTATTTTTAGAATAAAACGCGCCTTTTCTGTTGTATTAGCTTGTTCGTTTTAGTTTTCTTAATGTTTTTAACACATTTAAGAGAAAATAAGGATTGACTCGCTTATATTGAATTTAGCTCCCTTAGTCAATTTTTGTTTTCAAAATTGTAGGCTCATTGTTGATCGAGATATACGATACTCGGAAAAAAAATAATTAAATGCAGGATAAAATGAGAGTATTTTTAGCGCCATTTTTTGGTGGGGGAATTGAGATTGTTTGACGAAACCTCGGTAGTTTTAATTAAACAGATTTTTTTTTCAATAAATAAAATAAAAAAAAAAAAAATCTGTAGTGTTTGTATAGAGCAGGGGTCTCCAAACTTTTCAGTCCGAGGGCCGCATTAACTATCAAATTTCAGTTCGGGGGCCAGTTTCTTCCAGGCATGTCTTTGATTTTTCTGGGCAAAGATCCTCAGCCATCACCAACAAACGTTTTTTCCGTGGACAAAAAGATCTCTGCGGGCCGGATGAGAGGACCTCGCGGGCCGCATCCGGCCCGCGGGCCGTAGTTTGGAGACCCCTGGTATAGAGGTTTGTGATGGACAATCAACTAAAAACTATTGAAGCAAACGTTATCTTAGTAACATGTAAAAACCCAGGTCCGTGTAATGTCAAACGTTTTAGCCTAGTGTGTAGAAGTGTTAAGAGTGTGTAGTGTGTAGTATTCACATCATGAGCACAATGCTAATCGGTACTTAACATTTGACGAAAGATAACGCTAAGACAATGAACAGGTTCTCAAACTGCTGAAGTAGATACTGGAAGAGCTGTTAGTTTTTAAAAAAAACAACTAAATTTTACAACATATCCGTACATTTTTTTAGGTTTTATTTGTGTATCCATGTTACTCTTAACCCTTTTGATAACGATAACCCAACCCTAAAAACCTATCCTATTCTTATCCTTAATACATCAATTAGCATCGACTTTTGAAAAGTTTTTGAAATTATCTATTTTAAAGTAACTCACTAGAAAAAAAAATGTTAATTGATTAAAATATAAAAATCTAACTCTTTCTATTACATTGAATTAAAAAGAATGAACTCTGTTGTTACCATATTATATAAAGTGCTAAAATTTTAAAAAGTGACCAACCTAAGATTATATTTGATCTATTTCTTAAGAAATAAAAACAACCTTTATTCATACATTATTTGATCCATTCCAAATTTCTGGGTAATTTTTATAATTCACTTCTTGTTGCGTACACTAATCCTAATTAGTTTTAAAACTTAGTTCTTGATTTTAAGTTAATCAACCCCCCCCCCCCCTCTTGAAAACATTAAGGTTGACAGTTTTAAAAATTTAGGTTAAAAAGCTCCAGTCTAATCAAACATTCGAGAACAACAACCAAGCCACAAAGCTGGTGATAAGATAAGAAAATGTCACAGATAGGGCTTACACGTTTGAATGTTAAGCTATGACTAAACAGTTTACACGTGTTACATAAAATTTTACATGACAATTTCAGTCTTCTCACTCGACCACCCCCCCCCCCCTCCCTCACCCTATACCACACCTCATTTTAATTACTTTATCCTTATATACAGCAGTTAAAGAAACCTGGCTGCTGACTTCTCTCCCCTTTTACGTAAATATATTATTAGAACGATAGTTGTCTGCCGCTTGGGGGGCTTATCGCCCTCCTCGCACCCCGCCTAGCGACGCCACTGGCGTTGTTACCATTAAAAATTGTTTCAGGTTGTTTTTTTTTACCAAGCAAAGATGTCAAATACGCTTTTAAGTTCGCTTTATCGCTTAATTTTCACCGTCAAAACTTAAATTATCTCTCGATGTGACGTCAGTTTTTTTATGTGATGATGTATTCGAAATCTTTTATACAAGAATAAACGAAATAAAATACTTTTTCTATTGCAGCTAAATAAACTATTCTACAATTTTATTTTCTAAACAATTTTTACCTAATTTATTTTAAGGTCGTTACTTAGCAAAATTAACGAAGCTATTCCGCCCTTTATTTATTTTATTCTTTAGATACCTTGATCATAATAATACAGGACCTCACGCTAAAGGTTATTTTCATAAAAAAATAGTTCTCAAAGCTAACAAATTTATCTTAAAGTTAAAATTGGCAAACGGCCAACTCAGTATTTCTTTTTTCGATAACATAAATGCGACAAAGTTCGCTTATCAGAACTTGAAACAAAACTGGTTGGCGGCTACTATCAAAGGACTAATTTATGAACCTAGCCTCGAAAACACGTGGTTATAAATTACACCTTTTTGTGTGTCCTTTCCTACGAACTCTGGCCTTTTGTTTTTTTCATATTTAAATTTGCAGTCATAATTTTTTCTTTAAAAAAACAAAATAATGAATCGCCATTTGCTCCCAACGAAAACTGAAAAAAATAATTGAACTTTAAATTTTTGAAAATGTGAAACTTTTTAAAGCATTTCATTTTTAAATTTATGTATGTATTAAATTACTTTTATCAAACACCAAAAATCTAATTTTAATTATTTATTTGTATTGTTTATATAATTTAGTCGATGTTTTTATTTTTCCCCAGCTTGTGGTAATCGTCATGGCGTTCTTCCTCTGCTGCAGACACGATGACTAAACAATGACTGACCTCCCTTTATCAAGAATACAAAAGAGTTCCTTATCAAGCTATTACGCAGTACAGACGCAATCTATGGAAATCCAGTCGTGCATAATATTACAAAAATACATTTTTGAATTTAGAAGTCCTCTTTAAAAAAATAAATAATTATAAGTTCGTTTTTAATTTGTGCTGTAGTGGTTGAAAAAAAAATTAAAAATGAATGTAATTTAGTTTTAAAAGTCTAAATGACAAAGTAGTTTTTTTTTGTTAAATATATTTATTCTTACTTGAAACATAGAAGCTACTATTATTAATACCATCATATTACATTTTTTTTTCATGAAATAAAAAGCCATGTCTAGGACTAAAAATTATTGATCCCAAAAACTGTTAAAGGGGTCGTCCATAAATTAGGTTACGGCTGGGGTGTGGGATAACAAATTTGTTACGTCCTGCTAAATAAAGGTAATATTTCTTACACAATTAAATAATTAGAGGAGGGTCGGCGTAATAAATTATTTTAGTACTCAGGGGTGGGGGGGGTGATAAAATAGATTTTATTTGACTTATAACGATGGGGGATGTGGGAAAGCTTTGTGGACGACAGCCGTTTAACCATTTTTTAGCATTAGGACAGGATATGCAGGTACATGTCTATGGAATACCAAAATATCATTTGTTTTTGTTTTTTTTATTTATCATTTGCTTTCATTTTGAAGGTGCTCAGCCGTGTATCATGTGTAAATAGATTTTTAGAATTTTTTTATCCAATTAAATTTTAATTATGATTAAAAAATTAATTAAAATTATGATTAAAAAATAAATTATAATTGTACTATGTGATTAATAATGTGCCTGACCGATTAATTGTTGTCATGTAAAAGTCGTTGTTACAAATAAATAAAAATTATTTTTACATTAATTTATTAATTATGTTTATTATCTTTAGTTTTCTATCATTGTAAATGTATCACACTTGACTTGACATCGACGTACACAAAACGACATGGACCCATCAAGATTAACATACATCTAGAACCATTTTTAATTAATTAATTAAAATGTAGACTATTTTAATAATTTTATTTTTACAATGATCTAAATTTCATTTGTTTCGCATTTAAAATAGTTTTAAGATAAGCTTAAATTAATTAATTTTTTTTATAGTCTGAAAGCTAAAGAATACTTTTTAAGGGTAAACTAATTAAACTATATGCTTTATAATAATAAATCGAGTGCCTTTTTATGATACGACAACAAACACTTAGAGTCATTTTTAAAAAAAAAGTTTTGTTAACATCAAGTAGATAAAATTTGGCATCTTAATTGAACAGTTAACTTGTAACAGTGTGAGAGTTGTCAAGACCGAGGTCAACATTTCCCATGATGCCGTTGAATACCGTTCCCACAATACAACATCCGGTTTGGCTATTACTTCTACCTTTTATAGTCAGGTGGAATTTATTTTGTTGGATTAAGTTACTAAAAGTATTTACACATATAAAAATGTCCTGTTGTTTAAAGTTTTGAATATGTTTGTTTATTTGTTGAAAAATGTTGAACCAAAGAAACATATATGCTGAAAAAAAAAATTGTCCACCACGCTAAATAATGATTGTACCAATTACATTTGTATTGATTTACGTCTAATTAAAATAGAAACATTTGAATATTTTTAAATGTCAAAATTGAATTAGGTACACTTTGCTATTTACAATTGCCATATTAAAAAATATTAATTGAAATCAATTTTTCTAATTTCACTGGGTCTAAAACATGAGGGGTGTGTGGGTGAATGAATACTTTGATTAACTGATTGTATTATTGACTTGGGATTCGCGTTGAAAATAACATTGAATTTAACAGCGGAGGAAAGGAAATCCTTATACCAGACAACTAACCATTTTTTGTTAACTTTTATAATTTGTATAAATGAAATTTAGCTCGATTTCTATTTTATATTTGTATTTAATTCAACTGTTTAAATTGATATTTAAAAAATAATTTTAAAACAACTCTTAAATATATTTTTAACGTAGATTTCTTTATGTTCTCAAACTTTGAAGTAATTTTTTATGTGCTTAAAGACATTCCTATATAAAGAAAACACCGTGTCATTTGTTTTATAAAGAAATAAAATATTTTATATTTACATTCCAAAATTATCTTGTCAAATGCCATTCCAAGTTTTAAATTTATTTATAGGATGCTATACAACCACAGTCTTGTCCTTTTATTGTTGTTTTTTATAATAAAGTTCAGCTTGTATAATAACAAAATCTTTCTTTCTACTTTAAAATGTTGTAACGTTTATTATATCACATATGGTAAGTCTGTTGAGCAGTGGAAGTAGAGTTTGCATACGTCTTTATACTTGTAGCAGTACACATTTATAATTTCATACAATTACATATAGGCAGATGGTGGGTACTTAACCCACATCAGGGAAAGTAAAGTTGGCTGGGTATAGTGCTGACCACACTATTCCTTCATATGCCGAGGCCACAGCAACAGGTGAACTCTACTTCACCATAGACCGTCAGGTTTTTAAAACGAACTTCTTTTTTACCCCATCTACAATCTTTACCAGCAAGTCAAAAAAAAAATCTTACCCAACCCCCACCCCCACCCCATCTCTCAATCTTCTTTGGCCTTTTATGAACACCCCATAAGTCATCAAAAAACCATTCAGCGTACATGACCCAAACCAGAGGCGTAGCCAGGAATTGTTCATGGGTGGGGTTCAAATATTTTTCCATATGTATAAAATTTTATATATATATATATATATATATATATATATATATATATATATATATATATATATATATATATATATATATATATATATATATAGGGGTTGAGTCCATGGGAGGGGTTATAACCCCCCCCCCCCACATCCCCCCCCTTGCCTACGCCACTGACCCAAACCAATCAGAGCAACCAGTAGATCGATCCACGGGAACCTAATAGATGGTATTGACTCTTGTCAGCCCTATCAAATCCGGTCGCTTCCCATTTATTCTCTTCTTGACATGCGCAGTGATACAGTACGTCAATTTCTTTGTGTGGCTATTTTTAGCAACTTCCTTGTGCCTTGTACTCATTTGAAAATTGGAATTCAAAAACTCAGCATAAAGAAAGATAACACACTGTAATTAGATCGCGTGAACGCGTCAGTTTGAGGTGTGTCGCAAGTTATCACGAAAGTCAAGGACAAATGCCCAGGTCTTCATCGAAAAAAAAAATCTCATGATAAAGGTTCACGTGACCACATGGTAAACTCGAGTAGGGGACGGTGTGGTCTAGCTGGTAGACTGTACGCTTGCTAACCCGGAAGTCTAGAGCTCGGAATCCAGTTACGAGACCGTAGGTCACCTCCTCACCAAACTGCCCCTCACAAACTATCCCACACAAACTACCCCTCACCAAACTGACCCACACCAAACTGACTCACACCAAACTGACCCACACCAAACTGACTCACACCAAACTGACCCACACCAAACTGACTCACACCAAACTGCCCCTCACAAACTATCCCACACAAACTACCCCTCACCAAACTGACCCACACCAAACTGACTCACACCAAACTGCCCATCAATAACATTCCCCCCACCAAACTACCCCACACAAAGCGCCCCAACCAAACCGCCCCCCACCAAACTGCCCCTAACTGCCCTTTTGTAAGCATTAGTAATTTTTACAGTTGAATGTTTTCTTCTTTGCTTACAATGTACTCAAATGTTCGGTTAGGTTAGATTTTAGTTAAGGATAGGTTTCAGGTTGTTAGATTTTAGGTTAGATTTCTGTATGTTTTATTGTAGGTTTTAGCAAAAGCTTTAGGTTTGGTTTTAGGTTATGTTTTAAGTTAGGTTTAGGTTAGGGTTTAACTGACGGTTTAAGTGAGGGTTTAGGTTAGTGTTTAGGTTAGGTTAGGGTTTAATGTAGAACTGACGTAAAGTTTTAATTTAGATTTTAGCATAGGTTGTATGTTAGGTTAGGTTAGGTTAGGTTTTGGGTGAGATTTTATGTTAAGTTTTATTTAGGTTTTATTATAGGTTAGGTTGAAAGTTAAGTTTGGTTAGGTTTTAGCATTTAGGTAATGTTACCTTGGGTTGGGTTACGTTGGGTTGGGTTGGGTTATTTTAGTTTATGTGTGTGGATGCGTTCACACAGAGTAGATGTGTTCAGACAGGTGAGTGGATGTGTTCAGACAGGTGAGTGGATGTGTTCAGACAGGTGAGTGGATGTGTTCAGACAGGTGAGTGGATGTGTTCAGACAGGTGAGTGGATGTGTTCAGACAGGTGAGTGGATGTGTTCAGACAGGTGAGTGGATGTGTTCAGACAGGTGAGTGGATGTGTTCAGACAGGTGAGTGGATGTGTTCAGACAGGTGAGTGGATGTGTTCAGACAGGTGAGTGGATGTGTTCAGACAGGTGAGTGGATGTGTTCAGACAGGTGGGTTGATGTGTTCAGACAAGTGAGTGGATGTGTTCAGACAGGTGAGTGGATGTGTTCAGCCAGTTGAGTGGATGTGTTCAGACAGATGAGTGGATGTGTTCAGCCAGGTGAGTGGATGTGTTCAGACAGATGAGTGGATGTGTTCAGACAGGTGAGTGGATGTGTTCAGACAGATGAGTGGATGTGTTCAGACAGGTGGGTTGATGTGTTCAGACAAGTGAGTGAATGTGTTCAGACAGGAAAGTGGATGTGTTCAGACAGGTGAATGGATGTGTTGGGACAGGTGAGTGGATGTGTTCAGACAGGTGAGTGAATGTGTTCAGACAGGTGGGTGGATGTGTTCAGACAGGTGAGTGGGTGTGTTCAGACAGGTGAGTGGATGTGTTCAGACAGGTAAGTGGATGTGTTCAGACAGGTAGGTGGATGTGTTCAGACAAGTGAGTGTATGTGTTCAGTCAGGTGAGTGGATGTCTTCAGACAGGTTAGTGGATGTGTTCAGACAGATAATTGGATGTGTTCAGACAGGTTAGTTTTTTTTTCAGATTGGTGAATGGATGTGTTGGGACAGGTGAGTGGATGTCTTCATACAGGTGAGTAGATGTACTCAGCCAGGTGAGTGGATGTGTTAAGACCGGTATGTGGATGTGTTTAGATAGCTGAGTGGATGTGTTCAGACAGGTGAGTGGATGTGTTCAGACAGGTGAGTGGATGTGTTCAGACAGGTGAGTGGATGTGTTCAGACAGGTGAGTGGATGTGTTCAGACAGGTGAGTGGATGTAAAACAAAAATTAAATCTGAACACGATTCACTCATGACCCGATTCATCAGTATAAATATTATTTAAGCATTCCTAATCACTTGGTCTTAACATTCTTTGATCTACATTCAGATTTCTTTGATGACAAAATTGTTTGTGTAAGCATAAGTAATTTTTACAGTTGAATGTTTTCTACTTCGCTTGCAATGTACTCGCAGGTTCGGTTAGGTTAGGTTTTTGGTAAGGAAAAGTTTTAGGTTAGATTTTAGGTAAGTTTTAATTTAGTTTTTAGCATATTCTTTAGGGTAGGATTTAGGTTAGTTTTTAGGTTAGGTTTTAGGTTAGGTTTAAGGTTAGGTTTAAGGTTAGGTTTTAGGTTTTAGGTTTGGTTTTAGGTTCTAGTTTTTAGGTTTTAGGTTTTAGGTTTTAGGTTTTAGGTTTTAGGTTTTAGGTTTTAGGTTTTAGGTTTAAGGTTTAAGGTTTAAGGTTTAAGGGGATATGCGCGGAAAAAAAACACAAAATTTCTTGTTTTTCGTCATGATGGGTTTCTTGCACTTTTGGATACTTTGTCCATTTTTGTATATAGAAAATAATAACTTTAAAGAGAAAAAAATATTTTATGTGTTTGAATTACGATTTTTATGACCCTATTAATTAAAAAATAATCAATTTTTCCCAATCTTACAAGC